CACCTTACGTTCGTCTGTCTCCATATCCGTCCCCATACACACATACACACACACATTTATCTACATATATATATATATATATATATATATATATATTTACGCAAAAATAAGAACACGAGTTAAAACAGTTACCCACTTATCTACGTCTATTATGCGCAAACATAACCGAGCAACGATCGGTAGCTATGCGATACAAGCGTTCGTTTACTTGTGCAGTCAAACAGCAAATATATTACAACGTGCATTCTTCCATCGCGTAAAAGGAACACGCGTGGCTTCATCATCATCACCAGGGCTTGGCTTTTAAAAAGAATTTAAGAAAAAAAAAAGAAAAGAATCCGCAATAAAATCGATCAACTTTTTGCCGTCCAAGCAAAATTTTTACTAGCCCTAGTGTTTTGATCAGTCTTATCAACGTTATCGTAAACATTGACCACTTCCCTGACAACATGTCGATCGTACGGTGTAAATTCAACGTTGGAAGTTGTTGGTACGCGATAAGGTCGATATTGAAAATTAGGATGATGATGATGATGATGATAATGATCGTAAAAATGTCCACCTGTATTAATTTGACCATCCTCGTAGGGATGATCGTATCCGTTAAACCCATAAAAAATAGACGGATTATGAACAGGTGACGTATTGTACATCGAATTCCAACCAAGAAGACTGCTAATTAAGAGTGCCACTTTAATCAATAGCAAAGCCTTTTTCGAAACTATTAACAACAGTCCGAATAGTATTGGTATGAGAGACACAAGATTGAACTTGAACCCCATGAGGAAAGGTAGCAGGTGTCTGGTCAGTTGTCTTCCTGTAAATGGAATAAAACTCGTTTGTGTATGATGGTATATAAAACTCGGTGGCCTTGACCGTGCTGCCTGCTACAGGTAATTCTCGTAAGCAGGTGTTAAGTTAGCCGAGACTCGAACCCACGAGTCTTTTAGAAATGAAACGAGGTTCGTGTCCGTGCTAAAATATTTATATCCCGAGAGTTAAACTAACGATTAAAACGACAAACGAATTACGTGTATTTTAATAATCGTACAAATTTATCGAAAATCTTGTATATTCGAATTGAATAAAATAAATAATTATTTTAATATAATATGGTTTATATATATAGATAATATTACAAAATGATCGGTCAAATTTTATTGATCAAAAATCATCAGTGACATATATACATATATACGATAGATGATGAATAATAAACACGTAACCCGATGATCCAAAAACTCGAACACACTTGAAATGCTAACTGCATCTCTTACCAACCTGTTCCGGATTGCTTGTCGTCGTAAGAAGGTGGTATTTCGTCCAATACAAATTCTAAAAGCCCGTTTGCATTAATCATCGGTCCTACGCGCATCCGTAATCCCGGATAGAAACGATCCAAGTTCCATTTCATATTTCTACGTTCGATTAGCCTGACGGCAGCTTTAAAAACATTTTGAATATTATTCGGATCGTAATCGAGTTCGAGCAACTCTCGCCCGTAACCTTCGGCTCTCTCCAAACGAAAATTTCCAAAATTGAGCTCGTCCTGCTCGTTAAAAGATTGAAGAACACTGAGCGTGGCACGATTCGCACACTCTAAGGTACCGTATTCTTTATTCGAAAGACACGTGCCGAAAGCCTCGTTGAAATTCAACAAATTCTCTTTGGTATCCTCCAAATGTTCATTTGGTTCCATGATAACCGTGATTCCCGTTGACACGAGAACGAATAAATAAAGATTACGAAAATGATTCTTCATCCTTTTACTTCGTTTTTTTCTTTCTTTCTTTTTTATTTATTTATTTATTTCTCTTTTCCTCTATCCGTTTTATTCAAGAGAAAGTATGTAGATGATATTAGAAACGTATTGGGGAAGACAACGAAAGTTTTTCTTTTATTTCAGAGATGAAATGTAGAACAAGAATTATACGATACAATAATAATGATAATAAAAAGTTTTTTACTAACCGTCAATGTGTAAATCTCGCGTATTATCCGGTATCTAGGCTAATTTCGTTGTTAAACGTACGAAATACACAGATATTACGACAACGAGTTAACCCGTTTGACTCTATGATTCTAGGTAAAAGAACAAGAAGAAGAAAAAACTCGCGATATTTATATAAAAAAGAAAGAAAAAATAAATTGAATGAAAATTTGTCGTCGAATTCTCATAGAATACTGTCGATTTAACGAGTAGGATCACCGTGATATATAGTCTACGAAAAAACGGGGGAGATGAAAAGGGGGAGAAAAAGGGTGTTCCCATAAGACAGAACAATCGGTTTCACTTGGTAGATTCTCAAAGTAAGCGAAAGTACAATAGATTCGTTCGTTCGTTTATTATTTCGTTCGAGCAAGTTGTTGCACGCCTCAGATACACCGGATGCACCCGAAGAGGAGTGCGTTTTTATTTCGAAGATTAACATAACAATAATATGGACGATCTCGTTACTTTGTCATGCGAGTCAAACGTAAAAAAAGAAAAAAGAAAAAAAAAGAAAAAAAAAACTAAAGATAGGACGATTAATTGATCATCGGTAAAAAAAAAAAACTAATGATAATAATTATAATACATTAAGTTACCATTTTTTGGAATTTTTCTTTTTATACGGAATTAAGGTAAAGGAAAAGGAAGGGAGAAAGGAATAAGAGAGTAAAAATCGAAAAAGAAATGATAATAAAATATTCGTGTAACGTTTTTTCTTAATATAAAATAACAATTTATTTATAAATAATAAGATAAAAGAGAGAGAAAGAGTGAATTACATGAAGATTAATCGACACACACATGATTATGTCGATTTATAAATAATTATTCATTAAATTAAAGCACACTGGAGGGGGGGGTGGCGATGAGAGGTTTTGCGTAAGTATTGACTGCAACTGAGTAAAACAACATTTGACGAAGATACAAGGAATAATCACCTTGTTGATCATCTTCCACAAAAGCAGTTTAGTTTACCCATGAATGATGATGATACTTCGCGCAACGAAATGACGCGAATGGCAAATGCCATTATTCCTAAGCATATTAAACTTCGTGCTTCTCGAAATGATTAATTGAATCATCCTATGGTCTCGTTATTTCCCATTTATCTCCCTTTCTTTCCTTTCATTTTTTCTCTTTATCATTTAGCATTTCAATCATTTTGTTCTATACACTGTGTCTCGTAACACTCTGATCGAATAAATAACCTTAGACAAATTTGTCATAGATAATAATTTATCATTTAGCACACCGATTTTTAATCGATGCGACGTGTATGTTTCTTTGATATTTTTCTATTTTTCTATAGAAATAGTTCTCGTCGGAATCGTACTTAATCGAGTGTTTAAAATCCAATGAATAGAAAAAATGTCAAGTAGGAAAGAGAGAAAATTGGATTGATAATCCGCCCGTCGAAATTAACATTCGTCATCGAGTGGTTCGTTCGTATAAAATTGAATGTTTGGAAGTAACGTGTTCGACGATGATGATCAAAATCGGTAATGAGTTGAAGTTAAAAGGGTTTTAAGAGCAGCACAGCTTAGGCAACCCTTTTTTTTGTTTTGTTTCGAACGATTTATCGCCAAATACTGAGCAGCGATTATCGTTTCATTTGTACGAAGGTAGATGAGAATGTATTTTTGTTTTGTTTAGTTTTGTTTAGTTTTTAAAATGATGATTTTGGTGACTTTTGTGATGTAATCTCGAATGAATTCTATTCTGATGGTTTATAAGCGCTGTAAGCTAGATCGGATCCACCTGATCTTGCCCAACCATGATGATCACCGTGATCAGCTTCGTAATGAGCATGACTGTGAACCGGATGAGCTACGACCTCGTAACTTTGATTCTTGCTAGCCAAGAGCTTTTGAAGTCCGATAATAGCACTGATAATAAGAGCAATCTTGCCGATTATGAGAGCTTTGAATGCCAATAATGCAAGAGCACCTAATGCTAACGGAAGCAAAATGGCTGTTTTTGCTTTGAGAAGTAGCAAAATTGGTAACAGGGATTTCACGATCTTCTTTTTCTTTCCACGAGCTGTAAAAGATAAAATATAATATCGTTAATGAAAATCTGTGTGTATGTGTGTGTGTATATATATTTTTTGAACGATCGATTTTAAAATGATTTTATAAATTGTATTTAATAAATTACCTTCGTCCAATGAACGTGAGAAATCTTCTGGAAGACTGAATTCAATTGTATGAGTCGAAAGAAATTTGGATGCTCTGTCAATGATGGCTTGATCTATCGCAGCTTCCTTTGCTTCGATTTCGCTTGGTAAAGTACTTTCTATGTCGTTGTAAGATCTCGCGTTATCGGCACGACTGCAAATGAGAAAAAATAAAAAAAAAAAAAGAAAAAACACATCGTAATACTTTCGATTACTAAAATATATCGATGAAAGATTATATTGTTTAAACGTTTAAAAAACAATCTAAAGTATCGATAATATAATCAAATCAATGTAACACACGCGTTATCAATCTTCCCCCCTGCCCCGGAATAATTATTGTTTAAACGTTAGGAGAGAGAAAAAAGAAAAAAAAAAAAGAAAAAAGAAAAAAAAGCAAAAATATCGATAATATAATAAAATCCATGTTACGTTACGAATAATTTTCCGTTTCTCATATGTTACACGATTGAAGAAAAGCACCGAAATTTTCAAGAAAGAGAAAAAGAAAAAAAAAGAAAATCCCTTACCTATTGCTCTTAGCTTCCTCGATCTGTACAATCCTGAATCCATCGATGACGTTGATGTCAGCTGCTTTGGCAGCTCTATCGACGAATCGTAACGCCTTTAACTTGAGACAAACCGAAAGATCCGATTCACCTGAACAAGACGCGTAAACGTCTAAAGCTTCTTCGAGAATCGATGGATTTTGAGGTAGCTCCTGTGTCGTTGTAGTTGTTGGTGCACCATAGACAGCTACCGTCAAAAATGCTCCAAGAATGATCGAAACGTAAATCCTCGACATCTTCTATTATATTTATTATTATTTCCCCTTCGAGTCTTTTTTAAAATTCAGTCGAACCAACTAACCAATTGGAAAATATATAAACGCACCGAGAAAAATAATTATTCGCGACGCGTTATCTGTTTCTTTTCAATCTGGTAATCCGATTCTATTCTTATTATTATTATTACTAATTGTTAGAAATATGTTCCCGAATGGTTCCTCGAAAAAAGATGTTCGAACTACTACGGCGATCGTATCGACACTGCCCGAAAGAATCACGATTGCTGCCTTTTATCCTCGTCGCGAAAGGGGTCCGCGTACGTCTTTGAAATTTTGATGGCCCCCACTGAGGACCCCCCCTCGTACCTTGCCGCCACCACCAGAGGTACCGCCACCGATACCTCTACCTCCGCCGTTACCACTGTACCTGACGACTTTACAACCCATTCGAGCTATTGGTTCTCCTCGAGGCGTTCTCAACCGAATATCCTCTCTGTTCGGATCACTTTTAACACACCTCCACCACCAGCTTTAACTTCTCTCTTTTATTTCATCGATTCTTATTATTCTTATTTTTCATCTTCATCTTTTTCTTCATCTTCAGATTTTTCATCTTCATCCTTCTCGTCTTTACACATTTTGCAGTGTGCATACTCACTTAGCTCCTCGTTTGTGTATACAACGGATGCCCTGCACACAAATATTTCTTTCTTTCTTCAACTTACTGAAGAGAAACCTGTGAATATGATAAATAGGGAGAGAGAGAAAGAGAGAGAGAATGATAGGGGGAAGGAGAAAGGGAGGAGAAGGAGGAGGAGCAAAGAAAAAGTATTCGTGCCCACGCATCATCGAGTTTCTTCTTCTCATTCCATTTTTTTTTCTTCTTCTTCTTCTTATTCTTCTACTTTTTTTTTTTTTCTTAACTCGAATACACAGTGTCTCGTCGAATCTGAAGTTGAGAGACTAAGCGACGGCAGGCAGGTCAAAGGCACCGAAAGATATCGAAACGATACAACCGTGAACACTTGCCAATCCTCCTCAGGCATTTCCGGTAAGAGTTTGACCGTCACTCATTGCCAATGTTTAAAAACTATCGACAATACGATTTTATGAATAATAATTATAATTATTATTATTATACTTCTGTATTAGGAATAGATTAGATCGTTTAAAGTAATCAGTTTTTTAATTATTGTCTCTGTATATTCGTTATATATACTTTTATTTATGATTTAAGATAATACAGAATTGAGATCCCATATTTTCAAATTGTTTTTCTCCAATTACATTAATTTCAATAATAATAACATAAATATCATTTATATATTTTTCAATCGAACGAGATAACATTTTATTTATTTTTTACCATTCCGTTATACTTTGAAGGAAGAGAAAACAGGTGGAAGTGTAAAAGTAAAGAATCTATCTCGTAGGAAAAAGAAAGAAAAAAAAAAGAAACAAATTAAACAGATTTGTCTAATTGAGAATAAAAAAAATTTGGTCGCGATGATTTTCTTTTTCTTCCTTTTTTTTTTCTTTTACGATCAAACGATAGAATATAACATACGTTTACTTTGAGCTAAACGGAGAAAGCACGCGCATTTTTTCATCGTCATCGATCGTTTCACGAGTCCCTACCGTAAGTTTTATTACATCCGTAAAAAACAAAAAATTTTTTAATTAAAAAAAAAAAAGGAAGAAATTTCGTCAAACGACAAGGATGACCTATCTTCGATATATCGATGAGTTCCGTTCCAAATTTGAGACGAAATTTCTCACAAGAATTCTCAATCGATTCTAAGAAATTGAACCCCCACCCGCCCACCACCCTTCTTTCTTTTTATTTGAATATTAATTTGACAATTAACGTTAGGCTAGGTCAAATAGGAATTCCAAAATTATACAACAGATTCCTAATATAGACGAAAAAATAATTTAATCCCCTCCCTCCTCCTCCTCCTTCTCCTGGCCCCCTCCCCCACGATAAGTGGGTCATCGAATAAAGATACGAATTCTCGCGTTAAGATAATCAAATGAATTTTTCTAATAACTGTAATTCACGATTAGGCTTAAGGGGGGAGGGGGGCCAGGGTGGGGCCCCTAGGATTTCGACATTTCGTTTAATTAATTTCACCCCGACAACCTTGACCGGTATATTAAAATCCTCGTTTAGAAAAGTAATCGGGATTAAAATTCGTTTTACGAACGATTACGATTTGTGATCATCGTTTTGAACGTTTAAATGATAACAATTTTATTATCTTATATATAGTTTTTTTTCTTTTTTTTTTCTTTTTCCAATCATAATGACACAAATTCAACAGTGAGGATAATGTACGCCGTTTGAAATGAATATAATATATTCATTGGTAGCTGTCGCGCGCGAAACGTTTAACGGTTTTTCATGGAATGTAAAGCGCGCGCGCGTTCTTTTCTTCGTGCGCATGTGTGTGCGCGCGCGCATACACATAAGTTGGGACCACGCCAAAGAGAAGACCCTCTCTTCGAGAATGAGAGCCGCGCCCGCTTCTCGCCCATGACCTCCAAACGCTTTCTCACCTTCTTTTTATTTTTCTTCTTCTTTCTTTCTTTTTTTCTTTGCCTCTTCAATCTTCTCTCTAATTCATTTCTTACTCTAAAAATAGTCTGTACAATATCAATGGACATTAGAATTGGTGATGCGTTAGAAAATAATATATTAATGTATAGTAACGGAACACACACCAAATCTGTAAAAAGAGAGATAGATAGAGAAAAAAAAAACCATAATCTCTAACGCTTTTATTACCGACTTTCTCTGAGTATTCGTAGATATTTTAATCGCCCCCCTACGCACCCCCCTTAAATTCTCGTCGAAAAATTTAACCAACAAAATTTTCAACATTAATTAGTATTATAATATATCGATTTATCTATATCTGGTGTGTGTTATCGTTTGTATTTATTTATTTATTTATTTATTTATAGTTTTTGTTTTCTTTTTTTAAACAGAGAAATTTCTATCGTCGGTAGGATATGTGTGTGTGTGTGTGTGTGTGTCTGTGCGTTTGTCTGTGTTTCTGTGAGGTATAATTAAACTTTTGATTCTTTAACTCTTTCCGATGACTCGTTAACTAGACGCATATCGTATGTGTGTATATATATGTGTGTGTGTGAATGTGATTATCAACTAGATAAAATAATAAAAGATAATTATACTATTATTAAATAATTTAATTCTATATAGATTAAATATAAACTAGAACCGGAGACGCGACATTTCTCGTGTCATCCTCATTTTCTTTTCTCCTTTCTATTATATTCTTTTATTATACTTCATAATTTTTTCCCATATATTATATTTTTCTCACTAATGAAAAATCACTGTAACGTATCTACGAGAATTATACCCTTTTATAACTTACAATTAGAGTAATCATTTTTATTACGAATATTTAAATATTCAAAGATGTCAGAAATGATTGTTAAAAAAAAAAAAAAACAAAAAAAAAACAAAAAAAAAGAAGAAATAATTTCGAAAAAATCTTCGAGAATTAAATCCTTTTATAATTTACAATTATAGTAATCATTTTTATTACGAATATTTAAATATTCAAAGATGTCAGAAATGATTGTTAAGAAAAAAAAAAAACGAAAAAAAAAAACAAAAATAATAAGAAATAATTTCGAAAAAAGGAAACACAAACAGAGATAAAAAGAAAAAAAAAGCTAATCCCGAAGATGTCAATCCGGTGGTGGAATACTCGGTGTACTGTAAGCTTGGTAATGGAACACTTTCCTCTCGACGACGCCGGTGAGAGTGAACTCGAGCGAGGATCGAGGTCAGGTCAAGGCCCCCACGAAGCGAGGACTCTACGTTACCTTCTCGGATCTTCATCTCTCCCTTCTCTTTCTCCGTATATTCTTATTTTCCTTCTTCCCCTTTCCTTTTGGTTTCCGTTTGCCGTCTTTCATCTACACGCGAAGAAAGAACTTTCGCGTTTTATGACGACGACGACGATACTTCTGCTGCTATCCCATGAACGAAATGGAAGTAAGGATGGGCGTAAACACGAATACGTATGAATGACTATAATAAAAATACTGAGATATCGTGGTTAAAGTAAAAAAAAAAAAAAGAAAAGGAAACAACTAAAATTACGCGACATTTAAATCGTAATATGCGAATTGAAATTTAAATTGTATATGTATATGTATACATTGAAAAGTATTCTTTAAAACATTGTTTGTTTAATTATATTAATTAGAAACGAATTGTAACGTCAACGCGTATATCAAATTTTTTTAAAAGAATTTCATACGAACTTTACGTATATCGACGTTTGTATTATATTTTTACAATCCAAAGATAATTTAGAATAATCGTTAATTAATATATCATACTTACGCGTGTATTTTTTTTTAATCGTACGTATTAAAACGTAACAATTAAATGATATTTTATTAAATCGTTAATATCCCCGTGGAAATATTTTTTACGATAATGTTTAATGAAATTGGTCTACATTGTAGAATAAAAGATAAACATTAAAAAAAAGATATTTCGTATATTAAAAAAGAAATGAAAAAAATATATATAAATAATGATATTTTTCCCTAAAACGAATATATTGAAAATAACAGAATTATAAAGTAGATAATGAAATAAATATTAAATTATAGAACATCGATCGTAGAATATTTCGAGCGTATAAAAAGGGACTGAGGAAAAAAAAAACGATTCTTCCTTAGTAACGAAAAAAAAATCATCATCGTCGTCGTCGTCGTCGTCGTCGTTGAAGTTTCACCGAATAAAGAAACTGATCGCCGTATGGTTTTTAAAACAAGTAATCGGAGAGCTACTTTCAAAGATGGAACGAGAAAGGGCCTGAGGATGTTAAAAAAGGAGAGAAAGATTATACTTCCAGAGAAAGAGAAAGAGAGAAGGAGAGAAAAAAGAAATAAAATAAAAAAGGGGGACTTCGGTTGGTCCGTAAGTAACGTTTGAAGATCGATGAACCTTAAAGAACGAGAAGGAGCAAATAAGAAAGAGAGAGAGAGAGAGAGAGAGAGAGAGAAATATATAAAAAAAAGATTAACCAACAGAAAGAAAGAAGGAGAGAGAGAGAGAGAGAGAGAGAGTTGCGTCAAGTTGAGAAAGAAGAAAAAGAAGAAAAAGAAGGAAGGGGTAGAAGGAGAGGGGGGCAAAGTGAGGCATCCAACGATAGGTAGAGAGTGTTAGGCGCACCTTGAAAAGAATACAAGCCCGCCATGGATGCTGACCATGCTGCTGGATTCGCGCTGCTGCTCGGCCTGGTTTACTTCTCAACATGTGTTTCTGTGTCCTACGTCTTCTTCGTCTATATTCATGTATGATCATAAATGTATATATATATATATATATATATATATAT